ATGGAAGGCTCCAGAACAGGGCCCAGCCATGGAAGTTTCCAAAATGAAACCCAGGACACACAAGGCTCCAGAACAGGGCCCAGCACATGGAAGGTGCCTCCAATCGTGTGCGGTGTAGGAGCTTCTGACCTGGGCGCTCTGTCCCCCCTCCCGGAGGACGCCCTGCAGTGCTTCTTTGTGAATGCCCTTTTCTGCGTCGTTCCCGTTTTCTCTCTTCAAGCAGGTGTTTGATGATGCCCTATTCTAGACCATGCTGGTGACGGCTGACTTTTGGGGCCCCGTAGCGGGTTTTTTCCTCGCTGCCCCTGCATCCAGGTGGCGTTTTGCCTTCACTTGCCAGCTCTCACCTGCGTTTTGAAGTTCTGCCGCCTGGCTGGTGTGCAGGCGTCCTGCACGCCCCACTGTACGGCACAGCCACGGCCCTCCAGCCAGGCTCAATGGGGAAGAGGCAACAGCTCACTCTTCCCCGTCCCGCCCTGCCAGATCCCACTCCTGGATACAGCCTCAGCGAGGGCTGAACTTTTTACTCCTAGGGAAAAAAATCCCTTGCTCACTTCGAGCCGCAAGGACAGCCCCTTCTGGGGACTTGCACAGCTCCCAGGTAGCACGGCAATCACACCGGGCTCCCGCCCCTGCCTGCTGTCCCCGTCCTCCCCAAGTCTGCGCCTGGCAGGGTGCGCCTGTGCCCGAGGGTCTCTGCGGTGCCGCCCCACTCCTGTGGCTTTCTAGATGTGCTTCTCCCAGAACCCGGCTCAGGCGAGCGGGATTCTCGAGAGGCTCTGTGGCTTGTGCCGTTTGCCATCCGATGACCCCCTCTGGGGCGGCAGGCACAGCTGGTGGCTCTCCCTCTAGGGATGCTCCCAGGCGTGGGCAGGGCGGCATCCCAGGCACTGCCCTGATCCCCCTCGCCCTGGGACACATGGGGCCAGCGCAGGGTGATGTTTCCCCCACGGAGTCCACCCAGGCCTGGGCAGGACAGCTCGACACACCATCCTGGTTCATGATGGCTGGCATTCGGCTGAGGCCGTGGTCGGGGCTTGGCTGCGCCTCTGCCCAGGCCTGCTCCCAGGCCCTCTGTCCTGTGGGCATCGACCCCAGGGGCGCTCACGAGTGGACTTCCAGCCCGTCCAGCTGCGCCTTGGAGTCTGCGCTCCAGTGAGCCTGGCCTGAAGCAGACACGGCTCCACGGCTCTGAAGCTCTGGACAGCCCTGCCTGCAGCGTTGCCTCAGCCTCCGTGGCCTATGTCTGTTTCACTTACTCACTGTCATCGTATGGAGTTGTAGGAAGGAACAGAGAGTGTCTGACGTGGCACTGTACTGGTAAGAGTGAAAGTGCAGAAAACAATTCATCCTGGCTATTCGGAGCAGGAAGCCTATTTCCAGGTACTCGGTGTCGAGTTGGATTATTGCAACCACACCCGACTCTTCACTTCTCCCTCAACGCGACTTGGTGGCTCCTCCCATCCTGGGCTGAGTCTGTTCCTGGCCCTGGGTCTGGGCTGGCCACTGACTTGCTGTGGCCAAGGGGGAATGTGACGGGGTGACGGCATGTGGTCTCCCAGCCAAGTCCCCGGGCCCTGCATGTTTTGCCTCACTCTTGGACTCCTTGCTGTGCCCAGAGAGCAATCCAGGCCTGTGAATGCCGAGAGCCACGTGGAACAGCCGCGGCCCAGCGTGGTTTCTGCTTCCGGCTGGCCCTAGCCTGCCAGGGCAGGGTCGGCCCCGGGGCAGAGAGGCCCACTCCTCGCCTGAACGTATGCACAGGCTGCTCTTGCTCTGGGCCTTGACCGGACCACAGCGTGTTTGACTAGTCCCCTCTGCACAGACAGTGAGGTCATCCAACCATCTCTGACTAGAAACAGTGCATTAAACAACTCCAGATGGAGATTTTCTCCACATGTGCATACATCCGTCTGTAAGATACATTTATGGAAGAGGAACTGCTGGGTCAGGTTGCCAAACTGCCCTTCCCGGAGGTCGCGCAAGCCCTGTCTCTCACTGGTGAGACAGAAATCTACTAGTGTGAGGAGCAGAGAAATCGACCCAGGGAAGGGGAGGCCAGGCATGAAGCCCTGTCCCAGAAGGGGCCTCAGCTAGAGGGAGTGGGAAGGCTGACGTGAGACCACACACTCAGGGAGCGCCTTTCTGGCCTCGATTCCACAGACTTGAGCTGTTGCGGGTAAGAAAGGCTAAAATGCAGACGCAAGGAACACTCTGAGACTCTGTGGGACCCGCTCAGGAGGGAAACCCAGACGGGTCAGAGTGCTTTGCCGTGGCTTGTCCCCAGGCTGGGCAGGGCGAGGAGTCGCTGCATCCGGTGGAGACTCAGGGCTTGGCTGGCGTGGTCCCTGCTGTTGAGGGACACCTGCAGCTGTTTGGCCGTCGGGTCAAGGGGCAGTGCTGCTGGGCGCCCCCAGTGGCATCTGTGAGCTCATGGGGCCACCTCCCAGGGACTCCCCCAGGCACCTGGGTGGAGCTCGTGGGGACTGGGTGCCCCCTGCTGTGGCCCAGAAGTGAGAGCCGGCGAACCACAGCCCTCGAAACCCATGGACTGAGATCGTCACGTTTCCATTTCTACATCTTTGCCTCAAAAACAGGCCCAGGCTTTTGTTGAGCAACAAGCAAGTATGATCTTCTTTGTGGAGTCCTAGGACACATCTCTCCCAAGCCTAGGAGGTGCTAGAGACATTTTAGCCATCGGCTGTCTGGACTCCCTGTCACTGGCTCCCGTCTGGACTCTGCAGTGGTCGCTGCCCTTGTGTGGCGACAGGCTGTGTTGCCCACTGGCGTCTGCTGGCTTCCCCTTCGCATTCTGGGGAACAAGCCGTGTGTGAACCCACAGTGTGTCTTTCCTACTCTGTGCGGGATGGCTGCCTTTCTGCAGACAGTTTTTGTTTCCTGTTGCACTGGTTTGTTCGCAGTGCGCTCAATTTATGTAACAGAGATGCTGTCATCACCAATTAACGTTAATCACAGTCCCTGGGCCTGTGGCTGCCTGGGGACTGATTTAATATTCTCTCTGTTTGATGCCAGGTGGCTTCCACAAATGAATTTTTAAGTATCTCAGGGATGATAGAAAAGCGCAGAGACATCAACGAGGGTTCAGGAAATGCCTATAGAGAGCGTCCAGGATTGGAGGGATGCTTTTATGCAGTGGACACAGGTCATGTGTGGAAGGCTGCTTCCCGTCCCTGGAGGAGTCCGCGGGTGCCCTCCACACCTGCTGCGAGCACTCGGTTTCCTCTTACATCTTTCCTTCCAGTCTGCGAGGCTGGGGCTGTCTATTGCGTCTGGGGCTTTGTCTCATCATCTCAGAAGCTGTCTCAGACTCCTGCTCCCGGCGCCAAGGGGCATCCTAACAGCTGTCACTTGGAAATCCCACGGTCAGTCACTTCTTGCTGAGTCCACGTGTGCCCAGGCTTCCCAGGAACACCCGACAGCTCCCACTTCTTTTCCAGCTCTCTGCATCCTCAGTGTTCCGCCGGGACGCAGTCGTGGCCGCCGACCACGACAGTCTATTGACATCGGAGGGGACTCCATTTCTACAAGTTGGTTAAGGAGAGGCAGGTCTGGAGGCTGGGCGTCGAGATCGCGGAGGAGCGACTGGCGGGAGGCATCCCTTTAAACAGCCGCCTGGGCGGCGGTACCGTCCCGCCCGTCCCCCCGAGGCGACCACGACGGTGAC